TACCTCTAAAAAATCCCTGAAAGTAAGTGTGAAAAGTGAGGTTTTTGGGAAAGAACCTCTGCTAAGGTCTAGCAAAAAATTTTGCTGTATTAAAAAATTTTACTTACATAATAGTTGCGCACAGGTGTTGGCTAAAAACGTGATTGACAAAATTTGTGTATCTCCTTACAAAAATGAAATTGCAGCAATTTCCACAAGATGCCTCAGGTTAGTCATGAGTGCAAGGAAAACTTCTATAATTTCAGAGTAAGATTCATCCACTGAGAGATCCCCCCAGCTTATGTGCCTGCAGTACCACTGTCGGCTAGCAGAGCTCCCTCATTGCTCACCAATCTACAATAGCCTTTTTGGATGTGGCAAGATTGGGCCATGTGATGGAAAAATTTTGCTGCCTATTTTGAATCCAAGCCAGAAAGACCATGGCAGACCTTGATTCACCATATTTAGGGATCTATAAGGTACAGTATACAATGGTTTTCATGAAGACGATAAAGATGCTCCAGAATTATTGAGCTAGAGCCCTCATCAACAGCATCAGTTGTGATTCAGGAGGCAGGGTCTTGGAAGATTTTTAACTGGAAATTAATCCCATGGGAAACAATTTTGAGTTGTAAGCCATTTTGCCATTGCCCTGGCTGTTCATGTGATTAAGGTTGGTGTAGCTGGGTGTTTATTCCAGTATTTTTTGTCACAAACCAAATCTGTTTTCAACGTTTCATTTCCTATGTTATAGTTCACTATTTTACATTTAGTATCAAAGGCAGAATAAGATTGTTTCAACACGGGTGGTTAATGGCCAGAGAATTCGTCAATTGGAATGTAACAACATTCATTTTCAAGTCATTTAATACAGAAATTTTGATGGAAATAAGTACATGATACAAGTAAATAGGATACAACAAGAAAATTTGGAACTGTGAAAATAATTCCAAAACAATCTCAAAGCTTAGAAAATCAGGTAGTTATGAGATGGATAGATGGAGTCCAATTCGCAGAAAAGGGCTTCAGCTATCGTTGGTTGGATTATGTCGGGCCACCACAAGATGACGATGCTGGTGGGTTCCTCCAGCACAGTGCAAGTGACAGTCTCGTTGAGATTGACATTGTCCAGAGTGTCACAGGGCCAATTGATTTCATCGCGGATCTTAAGATGAAGTTGCTCGATTGTGATGCTTTGAGACCTGGTCTGGTTGCGCGCTTGTCTCAGGTGGCAGGATAAACAGCTGCCCAAAGTCAAAGTAGTTACTCCAATTACTCCAATGCAAATTACTATTTTACATTTCTCCATATATTTCCAGGCACAGGGGTAATTCCAATTATACCTACTATTCATGCATGTAATTGTGTGCTGAAAAATTTTAACAAATATATGAAGCTGGCAGTTTGATGAATGCTCTGATGACTGCAATTGCCTTGGTGAGTGCTTGTTAGGACCCATATTGTATAAAGCTTTTAAAACCAGGTATGTTAGTGTTCATTCAGCTGAGTGATTGATTTACTCTATTTTTGCTTATGTTTATACTCTGCACATGCGTTCATCAACTTACCTGCAATGGACCCTTCTTAATCTAAATAATGCAATTTGCATGAAATTTAGTTGTTTACATGATTTACTTCAATTGTTTTACTGTTTCAATCCTCTAATTTCAATGCTTGCTATTTTAATTTTAATTATTTGATAATTTATTTTAAATACCAAACTGTGGTCAATTTGTATACTTTGCCAAAAAAGTTGCAGTTATTACCACAATTGCAGCTGTGTTTGTTTACCTTGGTTTACTTTAATCTCTCAAATTACCCTCTTGTGTTCACCTTATCAGTTGTATATTCTAACTAAGCCGCATTTACAATAGGAAAGAATCAAGGATACAGCATTTACATTAAAATTTATATTAGGGCATTTTGGGCTTAACACTTTGACTAAAATTGCTTCATCTTGTACTATTATTTCATTTTTTGGACTGTTTTTAAACAGGGTTGCCAGATGGTCATTTTTTCCGGACAAATTCCGTGATTTAGTTTTTCTCAATTGCACTGGCCGGCTAAAATTTATGATAGGGGTACTACCTAATTAAATTTTAAATACTGTTAGAAGAAAGTAAATGGAATTTTTATAGCAGAACCTACAAATAAACTAATATATATTGAGTACATCGAATATATATTGAATACATCGGCCTTTTTTGTGCTCGGATTTGGCCTATTTTAGGCAACCTGAATTATGTACCACTATGTCCTGGAGAAATACATTTTTTGGTACGCATATGTAGGTACCACTTTGGAGTCAATGTGTTAAGGAACACTGTATAGATTTACACTAAGATCTATGTTTCTGTGGGAGAGTTGAATCAACTGAGCATTTTTTTTCTGCAATGTCCCTTGTGGTATGTTGACAGTCACACATTTATGCAAACTCAATTGCATTCAATTTGAGCCCCAACTACCATGAAATGTATGCTACATGGATTTTATTATCATCCTGAGATTCAATATGGATAATGCTATATTCATTTCTTTTTCTGGAGGCTATGGTAAGGTTGAAACAATTATAGGACTAACCAATAACCTAGATACAGATGAATTTCAAAATAGTCTATTGGCTAATGACTTCCAGGACCTCTTCTGCAGATGTACATAGGATATGTTAGTACATTACTTCCAAAGGAGAGTTGCTGAAGGTATATTTAACTGTCCTTAAGACAAGTCTTGGGACCTTAAAGCTAACAACCCCATGCCTGGACCTGGGAGTGGTAGAGGTAGACTGGACCATAACATGCTTACCAGCCCTAGATCCACTGAGCAAAACAATAGATGCCTTGGCTGTGGCAGCCTAGGCTCTACCATCTGGCCTGATGAGCTCATGTGTCCAAATGACAAACCTAGACTGAGGTAATGGCTACTTGAAGTTGGCTATTCTATAGATACAATAGTGTAGTAATTGCAGCCATACCCATGAAGCCTAATGCCACTCCAATTATGAAGATTTGCTTGCCTATCAAGGGCTTGCCACCTTGAGATGCAACAACTGGATGCTGTGGTCCTCTTGCATGTAATGATTATGCTCTTTCTGTATTGGTTAAGAGTTGTTGACAGAATGTCCAGAGTTGCATTTGTTGGTCTCGCAATTATATCCATTCATAATAGTTATTCTAATGAATTTGGAGATTGTGCTTTGAATTTTTATTATTACTTTCTTTCCCTATAGCATAAGGTACATCAAACATTGCTTTGTTATTTTAGTTGTTGTTCCTTTATGAATTTTTGAGGAGATAAAATGTTGCTTGATGTTTGTTGATGACTTTCTATTCTATTTACTTTTTTACTTTTCAAATTCGGGGTGTGTGATGGGAAATGTTCTTGGGGATTTTGTGATTAATTGCTGGAACATATTGGTGTGAATGATTAAATGTATACCGTCAGAGTAACAAGGGACAGTTTTGGATGTTTTTTTAATAACTTCTAACCATGAAACATTTCATAAGCAAGTTTGGGCACATTTTAAAGCTATTTGCAATGGCCATGGAATGGCATCTCCAAAAAATTCCATATTCTTTTTGTAAGGTGCCAGATGCAAAATAAAAGCCTCCTGAATTACCCCTGGGAAAGGGTAATAAGGGACACTTGAAATAAAACTTAATTTTAATACATTTGAAGCATGCAGAATGTATTCATCCTTTACTAACAGTACTCTGAAGTCCTCTACATTTGTAGATGATGTTGATGTAGAATATATGATATTTTGGTGATTTTTACTTGTTTTTCCTTTACTGATATGATATTCCCATATCCATACATTAGCATATTATTGATGTAATATTGCCATATCCATGGACATGCCATTGAGCATTGACAACAACCTTGTCCACTGCAAGCTTCATATCAGCAGCCATGTAGCATTTGTTCTGTATCTGTAAGCTTACAGGATGGCTTGTAATTTGTCTCTTATACACATCTAGATGTGTATAAGAGACAGGATGATATGTGTCTGGATGTTGTAGGACGATATTTGTGGGAGGAGATAGATTTTCTATAGTAACCGTTATTTTTCCGTTTTCTATGAATATCACGTTTTCTATCAATTTTTTCGAAAAATTCATAGAAGTAAAATGTTTTTATTTTTACATTTTACGTTTGAATGTGAAGTTTCATGATGATCGGATAATAACTTTAGGAGTTATAGGCTATCTCCAATTTAGGTTAGACCGTCCCCTTAAGGTGAATCTCAATAGTCATTCTTAAGGTGGGTCTTATTAGAGTCATTCTTAAGGTGGGTCTCAATAAAGTCATTCTCAAGGTGGGTCTCATTAGAGTCATTCTTAAGGTGGGTCTCATTAAAGTCATTCTTAAGGTGGGTCTCATTAGAGTCATTCTTAAGGTGGGTCTCATTAGTCATTCTTAAGCTGGGTCTCAAGTCTCATTAGAGTCATTCTTAAGGTGGGTCTCATTAGAGTCATTCTTAAGGTAAGCCTCATTAGAGTCACTCTTATGATCTTATTAGCTTATCTAATTTTTATTAGATAAGTAAATCTTTATAAGTTATTGGGGGGTTTGCTGGTCCTGCAAGATCACAGTATATAACAGCCTTCATAAAGTTCTATTAAGATTAATTGCATTTAATTTTATTTTTATGAAAGGACATTAATGCCCATTTCAGAGCTATTGTTACTCATGTACTTATTTCAATGTGTTGAATGGAATTTGTATCAATTGCTGCTGTCAAATGTGTGGACGAGTTGTATGGTGCCTGTGTTGCTGTGTGGTGCTTGTATGGCTCTGTGATCACTTGCTAGGTACACACGTGTACCAACATCCATATTAATAACTTGTGTTGCACACAAGTGCACCATCACACACACAATACATTGAGACATCTTTGACACACTTGGGTGGTCATAGGCGTTTTGCTTTTGGCACGATCGCTCAGAGAGACCTTGAGACACCCAAGTGTCTCAAAATAGCGGTCAATTTTTCTCAGCACACGCACCGCCTCCCCCCCCCAGGTGGCCACCACTGCACCAGCTGTACACAAGACACACATCCAGAAGCTGGTGTGTGTTCACTGTGGGGCGCAGGTCAAGTACCTGCTGAGCCACCTGAGCAAGAGCTTCCGCTGCCAGGTGGCCTACGACATGACCCAGCTGCGGCAGGTGGCACAGCACAGCAAGCGACTCAGGCAGAAATATTACCTCCGTCATCTCAAGGTAATCTTACCTTCAATGTGCAAGGAAAAATTTATCTTTATTGAAAATTTATTGTTTATTATATATTTGTTGGAAGTATGTCATTCAATATATCTTCATTTAGAATGTATCATTCATTATATCTTGATTGAAAATGTATCATTCAGCATATCTTCATTGAAAATGTATCATTTATTATATCTTTATTGTAAACATTTATAATGAAAATATGAATTTGCTTGACATTTTCGTTGCTTGTAAATTTGTCGTGAAGTTGATATTTCTGCAAATTTGTGTTACACTGCAATGATATTAATAAGATCCTTATAGTTATGGTGAATATGGCAACTATTATAGGGATTATGGTGAAAAAAATTTAGGGTAATTTGAACAAAGATTATGGTGGAGACAATGAGCAAAACAGCTATGATAACATTCAATCAATAATAATACGGTATTAATTTAGATGAATATGCAGGAACCATTATGACAATTCTAACATATTAATGATGACATAATTAAACGTGGAACAAGTGATACCAATGACCACAACTGTACACTATCACTCCACCAGCTGCTGGAGACAAAACTCACCCAATTTTTTTGTGTGTTTGCAGAAAAAGAAGAAGCAGCGCGAGGTGTTTGAGATCCTTGAGCCGGTGAGCATATAATTATTTTAATTAATGCTAACTAATTTTTGGTTTAGTTTTAAATGTTTTATTTCAGCAACAAATAACACTGTATTGCTCCTGTTGAGCTCATTGCCTTCACATTTTAGTTTAGGCCTATGAAAAGTTTTCCTGTAGAGGAATATAAGGATTTTTTTAGCTCATGATCAAATGTCTCCCTCAAGACATGAGGTTTTTTAGAATCCAGATCATTTTAAATTCCCTGATGCAGTTAAAATTTTATTCAACATATTTATGGTTATGCAGGTTTCTATGAGACTTTACTGGTCCACTTGAAGGATTAAAAAATAATGTCTAAAAATTCTCTTATCTGCCACTAGGCTTCCTCGTAGTGACATCCACCCATGGCATGTCAGTGTATTGGCTGCATGAAGATCCATTTATTAAATTCATTCAACAAATGATCTAAGGCAAATATTTCAATGGCAAAGTTCTCCCTGTGACACTTCCAGTGCAGTCAATCTTTTTCAATTCCTTTCTAATTAATTGTGTATTATATTAACTAAAGTTGCATGTTTCATCAAACAATGGTAGTAATATATTCATGCCAAAATGCAAAGCAGTCCATGTCATCATAGTGATGAAAAGCACCATGCTAGATAAATATACCATATTGAATTTATTAATGCACTATAGTGCCAATCATAACAGTAACTAATCATCTTGTTATGGAGGAGTGATGTCTGTTGAGTTTTTGCTGTTATGTATTAAGTTCTGCACACAAATTTTTTACAAAGTTTATATACATAGGCAAAGGTTTAAACATACCTGCACGTGTTGCTTGAGAGGAGTGGCCTGAGGGGAAGGTGGGACATCAGCATGTCTGGTGGTGGTGTCCTAAACAAAGCCCAGGATCGTGATACTCGAGAGATCTTATGGTGTATGTGAAATATCAGAATTAAACAATACAGTTTTTATTTTGATAAGAATTTCTCATTGCTAGCCATTGTTTTCATGTTTGGCGCAGCATCTCTTCCAATATCCACTACACCAAACTAAAGTGATTGGTAGGAATGACTTCAGTATGAACTGAGGGATATGTCCATGGCTTTGTCAGGTGTTGCAAGTGTCATATTTGTTTTTTTTTTTTTTTGAAGAAAAGAAGGTAGGGAAATATCTTTACTGTGCTGGAGAGAAGCTGGTAAAAAGCAACTCCTGATGGAACTCCTGATGAAAGCAAATGGAACCCTAGCTAAGAAAATGCATGTAAAAGACCACCTAAGTAATTTTAAAATTTTCATTATGGCTTTTGTTTACCCGAAATGACCTCCCTGTAGGTGAGGCTGCCCCGTCCTGCCAGACAAACCAGAAAGCGGGATGTTGATCGTCCCTCCAGCCCTGGCCGCCATGCTGATGTCCCATCGCCTAATTGCTTTATGACTGAAGAGCCCAGCTTCCCTGGCAGCCCATTGGATGACACTATCTCTCCCAGGCCTATATCAGTGTACTCTACTGAAACAAGTTGCCAATTACTGACTGAAACAAACTTACCTCTCTTGTTGGCTGAGACTAGCTTCTCCCCTCGCAAGCTGTCACTTGACGCTGGCACTGTCACAGCGTCTGGTCCTGCCACAACCAAGGACATCTCCTCGCAAGACTACTTATTAGACGATGATTTGTCCAACTCTTCCAATAATTCCTCTAGCAATGATATGATGTCTTCCCCAAACCCCAGTACCTTCCTTGTCTCTGCTTCTCCCACTGGGGAGGAAGGGATCACAGTCTCTCCCAGCACTTCCCCTTCCAAGCCCAGTGACCAGAACATCACGTGGCACAAGCGTCCCAAGCTCAGCCAAATCATCAAGCTCTCAAAGGCAGGCAAAGAAGAAACTCAAATGGGCCACAACCAACATAACCAGAGCTCTTGATCATTTTTGGCTCATTTCAATTGACCTTTTTGATAATTACACTTAATTACCCATCTGTCATGGATACATGTACCGTCATCAATGCTATTTGTACCTAGTGGTTAGGGAGCAAGAAGTCTCGTCAGTCCCAAAAGGGGTTATATCCAAGCTGTTCATTGCATGTACAAGTCTACTCATAGCAACTATTGTGCATAATTGACTGGACCAGGTCGTCCATGCTACTTATGGGCATTTAAAAATGATGCATGACTATTAATCCTACTTTCTTGAGTATTTTGTATTATGTGTTGTAATCATATATGACATGATCCTATTTCCTATGTATGTTCATACATCTGATTATCATAGGATTAGTACAATGGTACTAATTCTTGTTGAGATATTTGTTGAAGACATTACCAATTCTAGGTAATGTCTTTATCACATATTGGTAATAAATGTTCCAGTGTAGATTATGTTAATCCTCCTCCCATTATAATGTTGTTACATCAAACATTGATGTTGAATGTGAGTCCTTGTTTTTATTTGAAATGTTATTTAAGTTATTAATTTAATGAACTCACTGCCTGGACAATTCATGAATATAAATGAGATGTATTTAATATAACCTAGGTTATGAGCTGGTATCTGTGGAGCTAATGTGAACATGTATCAATTTATTTTTTTTATCCATTTGTGAACATGCATTTTTTTAAACTGCTCTCTGCAATTAAGGAATTAAAATTTTTGTCTTGAACTGCATACACTTCAATGTTTGTTCTCATGTTTCTCTATGATATAAATGTTGACATAGCTATTGTGATATAAAATTTGGAAAGATGCATTCTTTCCTTCTCCTTAGAGTGAAACGTTTTTACTTCTAAAGTTTTTTATAGACAAGTTATAAGGTGGCAGGATCATCCATTCTATTGGTGGCAGGATCATCCGTTCTATTGGTGGCAGGATCATCCGTTCTATTGGTGGC